CCTCTGATGCCTTTGAAGCCAGCTACATGTCGAATGAACCCATATACTACACTCTGGGCCTTCTTGTTGTCTTCATGCTGACATCAGGGTGCTTCGTTATGTATGACTATTGTGTTGAGCGCCGGCAAAGGAAGGTTATGCAGTCTGCACAGCAATCTGGGGCTGTTGTGGCATCTCTTTTCCCTGAGGCAGTACGCGAGAAGCTGTATGAAGAGCTGCGCCAAGAGAAGGTTGCTAAAGAGGAAGAAGCCAACAAGAAAAGTCAGCTTTTGGATGCTAACAAAGCACCACAAGAACAACGAATGTCCTCATTTGACCTAGCTACCAAGAGCTCTGTCAATGCTCATTTGTATCCTGACTGCACATTGTTTTTTGCTGACATTGCCGGATTCACACATTGGAGCTCAAGCAAGTCACCAGAAGATGTCTTTGATCTTCTTGAGAGCATCTATGGAGCATTTGATGCAAGTGCTAGGCGTCGTTCAGTCTTCAAGATTGAGACCATCGGAGATTGTTATGTAGCAGCTACAGGCATCCCGCGTTTGCAGAAGGACCATGCAGTGAGGATGGCAAAGTTCGCCAGTGATTGTTTGACTATATTCCAAAACCTTGTCCGAGATGAGCTATCCAATAGGCTAGGTGAAGACACTGCTGAACTTGGCCTTCGGGTGGGCCTCCACAGTGGAAGTGTAACCGCTGGTGTCTTGCGTGGAGAAAAGGCCAGATTCCAAGGTATGTCACTAGGAAAACAAGCTTCTTCTTTGCCTTGGTGTCATTTTCACTAACCACAACCATTCTGGGCTATAGTAGCTATTAGGGGATGCAGTCAACACTGCTGCTCCATGTGAATCCACTGGTACACCCAACCGAATCCAGGTCACGGAGGCAACGGCAACCTTGATTAGAGCTTCAGGGCGAGGAAAATTGTTGACGGCTAGAGAAGACCTTGTTGAAGCCAAAGGCAAGGGCAAACTGCAGACATACTGGCTGAACACTTTTAACTATGATGCCACATCTGTAATTACCGATGTCACCAACCAGTCACGAGATTTGTCTGGAGATGAAATGGAAACAGCACCCATTGACAGTACACAGAAACCTATTCAAACAGATTTGGAGTGCTAGTTTGGATGTCCTGTGCGCATTGATTAAATATATAAATTGCATTGTAGCTCCTTTCTTGGGCCCAGCGCTTTCTGACATGCTGACTTATCCCCCCCCCCCCCTCCCCGACCAAACCAAATTGTACTTGCTTGCACTTTTGCTCCTCTACGAAAGTAGTACGGGATCCTCCAGGTATGTTTGTGGGCCCGGAAGGCTTATTCGTCACTTGTACTGATGCTGAAGCAAGTGGCACCTCGACTGTATCTGGTTGCCCTTAGAAGGTACGATCTCTCGGTGCTGCTTCTGTTTTGCTTAGATGACAGTTCCAAGCACGTTTTGCCTCCGAAAATTCATTTAGCCCCCCGTATGGGAATAGCTAGAATAGCAATATTGTTTGGTACGACGTCTTACATGTTCCTCCAACATTACAAGGAAGAACCAAACAACTAACCAAGCAAAGGAAAAGGGCTTGTCACAACACGAAAAGGACAAAGCGACTTCAAGGAATGAGGATCTAAAAAACAACGATTGCAACTGAGAGTGCAAGACAAGCTAAAAGGACCAACAGCGCATGAAAAAAGCGCAAGAAACCAAGCTATCATACGAGGAGTGAGCCCAGAGCACGAACATACACGACGGCTTTTGGAGCTGTGGAACAGCCATGGTGCAACAGGAACCAAGCTACCGGTACGAAAACGAACAAAGGAATGGAGTTGGATATCAACCCCAACAGAGAACAGCGCTACGAGGTACCGGTGAGAGGAATCGGAGCGACCAAGGCTAATGTACTGTACTGGTACGCACGGAGCAGAGAGGATACTGCCGTCGTACGAGGCCCACTTGAGCGACACCGAGTGTCAACCGGACAAGGAACTAGCTAGATGACAAGTTCCAACAGGAATGATCAATCAGAAGAGACAGCGAAACTCTGCAGAGATGCTTCTGTGGGAGGTCCTATCCTCATCCTCATCCTCAAATAGCCGATCTGCCTGAGGTGCGGCGGAAGCACGACTGAGGACTCGCACCATCAACAAGCTGAATTACCAGCGAGGTTCCTCGATGACAAGAGGAGCTACAATGAGGCTATCACACAGGAAGCTGTGCTTTGAACAGTGTCGTAACAGGTCCAACAACAACGAATAACAGGAAACGCCGAGGAAAGAAGATTCATCCATCGGCAAAGCAGTGAATTCGAGTGAATTTGCGAGAAGAAGAGTTGGCAGTCAACGGAGCGGTCGATCGAACGACGACCACTGCTGCTACCAACAACGAACCACCGCTCCTACTAAGGCTATCGGTCGTTGATACTGGTAGTAACAACAACATCAGCAGAAGAACAAGGCAAGAGAATCGCTTTGTGGAGAAGGCGAGAAGGTGAATCTTTGCTTTGTGTGAGCCCTGTAGCAAGAACAGCAGCTGTTCGGTGACCCCAGCCAGCCACTTTGAATGAAAGAAAGCCAAAGGTATCTTTCCGTCGCGAAAAAGTATCTTTGAAGGAGTCCACGGTATTCTCTTGCTTTTATCTAGACTCGGTATCAACGACCGCGGCTTGTTGTTAATCTAGCAGTAGCAGCGGTCGATGGCTGCCGCCGACCGAAGGGTGGTGGCAAGAAAACTCTTTCGTTTGTTGGAACGTGCAGCGTCGAAATAACAGATAGGTTCCTGCAGGCTCCTGCAATCCAGCCACCGTAAGCCAACCACAATCAGTCGACACCACGAGCAGCCATATGTCAGCATCGTCGTGTCGTCACTCTCATCGCGGAGCGAAATAACTCGACTCGACTCCGCCGTTGTTTTTCTGCTGGCATCTCTCTCCTCCAGTCGCAACCTCAGAGTCGAGTCAACAGTCGACTTCATAAGCAGCCATCGTCGTCGTTGTCGTCGTGCCATTCCATTGTATTACGACGATCCAAGAAACAAGTAGAGACTCCTCACATCGTGGAGCGGCGAGATAAAGCGGTAACAGCTGCTCAACAGCAGCCAAAGGCTCCTTTCAAACCTTCGGAGCTCTCGACTACTGACACCCTTGCTTTGAGGCCCGATATGCTTCCGTAGCATATCTAGTACGCACTTCCCAAACAACTGAAGAACTGAAGGAAGAAGGAAGGAAGGCCATTGCCCCAACCTGGGTCTGGGTCAGGATCTGGGTCGCCTGCAATTGCTTTCACCATTCATATAAATTTTGACGTGTTTGAATGCAAGAAGAAACAGGTCCTGAACAGCTTCCTGAACTAAAGGAGATAGGAAACGCTTCATCGAATCCATGAACTGTGTGTGTGCCTTGTATCTTGTATCCTGAGTACAGGGCACCAATACTATGTACCAGTGGTACCGGTACATGTACACTGTACTGTACCAGTCCAAGAAGGTACACGTACGACTGTAGGAGGCTGGTACTGTAAATGGTTCCTCATCGAATCCATGACCTGAGAGTGTCATAGGCAGATAAGCAGAGACGCGCCTTTTAAACCCTGCACACAGCACAGCAACAATGTATGTTACAAAGAGTACCAGTCTAGTGACCTGGCAGCTGCCTACCGCGTACCGGTTCTCCGGTATTGGTGCTGTGGTACAAATATCTTATCGTACCGTACCAAGGTACGACTGTACGACTGAAGTGTCCAACTACTCTAGCTAGTCTATATAGCTTCTTTTATAGGGCATCGCCTTTTGTTCTTTGTTCCTGCGTGATGTATTCGGCTGACCCTTTTACTAAACGGCGATAACCAGTACTAGTAGTAACGACAGTGGTAAACAGTGGTACCAGTACTCGTACTCAAGAGAGACATTGGTGGACGATGGTGAAATTTACCACATACCACCTCTAGCAGTTTGCTGCATGGCTAAAAGCAGCGGTGGGTATGGGATATGGGAGGCATTGATTCCATCCCAAGCTTTCTCGCTTGCAAAAGCTTTGTAACCATGGCGGATTCTCTGTTCGATACTCTAGCTAACTAGCTGGCCAGTAGTCTGGCTTTGGCTTGTAGTAGCTACTGGAGACAGGAGTAGAATCTGCCAGGTCACTCACATTGGTCCTGTGCTCTGTTTTGGGTTCAAGCAGTCGCGTCTTATCTGGTTTGAAAGCACGAGGCTTTTTGAACCCTGCACAGCAACAATTCGAGTGACCTGAAGCAACAACAAATTAATGGAAAAGTGGACCGGTACTACTGCAGAATAGAGTGGGGTCTCGACAGATGCCTCCGACTCGTCACTCGCTACTCGCTGCAGTCTCGCTACAGAGCTGCGGTTTAGGGTAGCGGCACGGTGGACAGTCGTACTCAGAGTAGCCTTAAAATAGAATTCTGTTTATCGCTACAGAGCTGCTACTGGAGTACAGAGGAATATCAGCAGATTCCACCCGTCTTGTCGTCCTGATATCCATAATCCATAGTTTAGTCAGCAATCAATAATTCATACTCCCTGTACCGGTACGCGAGACATGTAACCATGCAATAACTCCTCTTTTTAATCAAAGAGGCATTGGTCTTTATTCTGCGTGACCTGCAGTAACTGAATTGGTAACCGGTACCGTACGCGGCTGACCATTAATCAGTCGGGTACAGTAGTCCAGTGCAAAGAATAAGAAGGCAACATTTGACTTTGGTCACTGGTCATACTACATACATGTACGGGTAGATCATACATGTACTGGTAAACCTCAGACAAACTTTCGAAGTTCGTTTCATCGCTTGAGCTATCCTGCATTGTTTCTCAACCTCATAGATACTGTTGCCTCTGTTGTGGTTGTCGCCTTCGTCTTTTCGAATCTTCCAAGGGCAGAGCCGCCCTCCATTCTATTTCTTATCCTATCAGTAACCATTGGGTGAGTATCGCAGAGTTCATGGCGTCGTTGTTGCCACAAGAGCAGTGCTGAAGGTGCCATCGGCGCTTTCGATTCTTTGGCTGGTCAATCATCCAACCTTATTGTTTGCTCCTTTGCTCAACTGCTTTCATACACCAGTCTCCAGCAGCATGGCTGAACGAAAGATGGATATCCCTCCCTCCTTTGAGGATGAAGACTGCATGTCGGTTGCAGATTCACACTTTTCTCGCAACTCCGGACGCTCAAGTACTCATGGAGACCAGGCCTTAGAACTTGCAATGGCCGAGAACCGAGCTGTGGGTGTCTTGAAGATGATGGTGTTCTTCCTCTTGGCTTCTGTAGCCTTGGTGGTGTGTCTGCTAGCATACTTCTTTATCCATTCAAGTTTGCAGAATGATTTTGAGTCAGACTTTCGTGACTTGGGCGACAAACTTGTGCGCGGGTTTGAGACGAGTGTACACCAGAGCTTTGCTGTTCTTGGCAATATTGCAATGGACGTGACAGCTTATGCCAAGAACCAAAACCAAAGCTTTCCTTTTGTTACACTGCCTGACTTTGGGTTGCGCGTGGGAGCCTTGGCACGTATTGCTGGCTTGATGAAGGTGGCCACCTTCCCTTTGGTGCAAGAATCGGAAAGAGAAGCGTATGAAGCCTACACCGTGGCTAACCAGGGCTGGAAAGCCGAATCCTGTGCTGGGGAACGCGGTATTGCAACAGAAGAGTTGGGCCCTCTTCCTCCCATTTCTCCGGTTATTCTCAACATGACCCGCCAACCTTCTGTAGATGAAGGACCTTACTTCCCATTTTGGCAACTCTACCCTTGCAATCCATTGCCTACTCAGAACACTGACCTTTATCATTTACCCCACTACTTTGGCCCTATGAGTCACGCATTGTACAACCATGAACCAGCCATGCCACCCAGCATTGGCTATTGGGACAATCCCAATTCAACAGATTGGCGTTTGAAGTACTTCCGCAACATGGATACGGTTGATTATCAAGATGACCCTCTTGTGGCTGCTTTTATCCTGGTAAGTTTGTCTGGTGCTAGCATCATCCCATTGATTTGGCCTGGCAGTTATCTTTCATAAGTTGCTCAGTCTTTGATGAGTTGTATGCCCCCGGAGAAGAAGGTGCCACGGTGAAGGCTGTACTGTTAGGAGGTATCTATTGGAGAGACCAGTTTCAACGAATCCTACCAAATGGTGACAATGGTGTAGTGGTCGTCTTGGAAAATACATGTGACCAAGTGTTTACCTATCAAGTTGATGGGCAGGATGCGGCATTCCTGGGTCCAGGAGATCTGCATGACCCCAAGTACAACTATCTTGAAGTGAGCCTTGACGTCATGGTCAATGACCAAAGTGGAAAGAACCTATGCATACCTATGCCGGAGTGTGTCAGTACAGGATTCGGGCATACCCCTCTGATGCCTTTGAAGCCAGCTACATGTTGAATGAACCCATATACTACACTCTGGGCCTTCTTGTTGTCTTCATGCTGACATCAGGGTGCTTCGTTATGTATGACTATTGTGTTGAGCGCCGGCAAAGGAAGGTTATGCAGTCTGCACAGCAATCTGGGGCTGTTGTGGCATCTCTTTTCCCTGAGGCAGTACGCGAGAAGCTGTATGAAGAGCTGCGCCAAGAGAAGGTTGCTAAAGAGGAAGAAGCCAACAAGAAAAGTCAGCTTTTGGATGCTAACAAAGCACCACAAGAACAACGAATGTCCTCATTTGACCTAGCTACCAAGAGCTCTGTCAATGCTCATTTGTATCCTGACTGCACATTGTTTTTTGCTGACATTGCCGGATTCACACATTGGAGCTCAAGCAAGTCACCAGAAGATGTCTTTGATCTTCTTGAGAGCATCTATGGAGCATTTGATGCAAGTGCTAGGCGTCGTTCAGTCTTCAAGATTGAGACCATCGGAGATTGTTATGTAGCAGCTACAGGCATCCCGCGTTTGCAGAAGGACCATGCAGTGAGGATGGCAAAGTTCGCCAGTGATTGTTTGACTATATTCCAAAACCTTGTCCGAGATGAGCTATCCAATAGGCTAGGTGAAGACACTGCTGAACTTGGCCTTCGGGTGGGCCTCCACAGTGGAAGTGTAACCGCTGGTGTCTTGCGTGGAGAAAAGGCTAGGTTCCAAGGTATGTCATTATGTGTGCATCCTTGTCCTTTGCTTTTGGTGATGCGGTGATCTAATTGAAACTTCATGCTATTAGTTTTTGGAGATACAGTCAACACTACTGCTCGATGTGAATCCACTGGTGCACCGAGTCGAATCCAGGTCACTGAGGCAACAGCAACTTTGATTAGAGCAGCAGGGCGAGGAAACTGGTTGACGGCTAGAGAAGACCTTGTTGAAGCCAAAGGCAAGGGGAAACTTCAAACCTACTGGCTGAGCACTGTTAACTCTGATGCCACATCGGGGGTCATTACCGATGGCGAACCAGTCACAAGATTTGTCTGGAGATGAAATGGAAACTGCGCTCATTGACAGTGCACAGGAACCTCTTCAAACAGATTTGGAGTGCTAGTTTGGATGACGTACACATACATACTGACTATTGAATTAAAGAAATTGCATTGTAGCTCCTTTCTTGGGCCCAGCCCTTCCCGGCATGCTGACTTATCAAGTCCCCCTGCACCGGTAAGGTTACCGGCACTCTTGCGCCTATACAAAAGTAGTTCGGTATCCTACCAGTATCGGTATGGTGGCCGGGAAGACTAACCCGTCGCTTGTACTCTTGAAGTTGCCATTGCGGTCGGTGAGTCCGCTGATCAAGGGAAAGCGGTGCTACATGCCAGTACGGTAATGGCAAGCGGGAAGATCCATCGAAAGTGTTTACTGCCAATGAATCGAAATTGATTGCTTTTTGGTGACCGTGTCCTCAAAGCAAATAAACGAAAGCCTCAAATACGTACTATTTAATAAGTAACTTGTCCTCGCCCCAGCTAGAGTGCATGCACATGATGTACACCATGTAGTTTTAAAGAGCTATTGGAAGGCAGCTATGCCATTCATGAAGACCGATCGAAACCCTACTAACTTGCTGGCTGTTCCTCGGGAAGCGCACCTTTAGCCATGTTCAGGCAGAACGTCCCACCTGAGCGTCGGGATGGCGACGGGATGCAACCGCCAGGAGCTCCATTGCAGTCGTTGTAGCTGTTTTCATGGACCCAATTTGCTTTCTTGGAATGCCGCGGGCCAGCGACCTACGAGACGAGGTTGTCCTGGTACTAGAATCCATCAATGGCTCTCCCTCAGGAGTCTCCTCGACGTTGTCTTCATGTGGCTGCGGGGAGTGATGTGGCGGCGGAGGACAGCGGTCGTAGATCATCCTCGTATTGCTCCTGGAAGAACCCGAGCTGAATCGAGTGAATGCGGACCCCTTGGTGGTGGCAGAAGATGATGATGCGAGCCATCCTGCTCCGGTGGAAGCGCGGCGCTGGTATTTCTTGTGTGAAGAAGTGCAATCTTCTGGATTCGGCTTCGATTGTCTTCTTGGCAAACACGAGGTCCTGACGGAAAAGTCCAGCGATCCTCTTCTCTGCAACATTGGAGGAGAAAAGAACGAGTCCTCTTCATCGCCGCCACCACGACCAGGAGAGACACAAGATTGCTGGAATTCCAGAGAGACCCTTCGAGGCATCCGGCCTCCGCTGTTCCGCCTATTATTATTACGAAACGAGGAAGACGATTGTCCTCCGATACTGCCAGTGGAGAACTGGAGCGAGACCCGTCTTGGCACTCTGGATTTCTCTTGAATGGTAGAGCCATCGTCATTGTCGTACTCCAGCGAGACCCGAGACGGCAAGCGAGAACGCGAATCTAAAAGGTCGCTGGCCGCCGCTGCCAAGTCTTGGAGGGCTTTGTAGTGGCTGTTGTTGTGATGCTGCTGTTGGTGGTGATGGTGATCCGATCTCGAGGTTATCATTGTGCGCTTCGCGTCGTCATTGTCGTGCTGCCCGGGCATCGACAAGCGCTGGGGCGTCTTGCCAATGGAGAGCCGTCTCATGGTACGGTTGGTGGTGGATGCATGTCCTACGGAGCCTTGGAGAGAACTGCGTTGACTCATCATACTCAGACGACGAGTCATCTGATGACTGTTGGATGTCTGAGAGCGCTGGAACGGTGGTGGCGTTGGTGGAGGAGGAGGAACCGCACATGAGTTTACTCTCTCCCATTCCTCTTCTTCTCTCCAGAAGGACGAATTCGATGTGGTGGCACTGCTAGCAGTCGATCGACGATGAGAGCTCATGGACTGCCGACGAGTGGATACAGCGGAAGCCCTGCGGCTTCGAATGGGACGTCCTTGAGAAAGCGCTGCTGCTGCTGCTGCCGAGAGCACGGAGGGTTCATCGTCGTATCCCAACTGAGCTCTGCTGGGAAGCTCTGCGGGATTGAAAACGTCGTCGTCAACAGCATCATAACCGAGCTGTTGCTGCTGCTGTTGCTCATCTGGACTGGTGGGGATACCTTGTTGGCGGCGAAAGCTGCTGGGAATGGTATGTTCCGGAATGTCCTCGTCATAGTACCCCAGCTCGGACACATCCAGAGGATGACGCAACAAAGTCCCTTCGAGCTTTCCTTGGGAAGGATCGTCTTCCTCAAGATGAGCAATGGATTCGTTAGTCGCAGCAGTCAAGAGCCTCGGACTGAACGTATCTTCTTCTGCTACCAGTGGCTTCTGATCTCCACTGCCTCCATTGTCATCGTCGCAACGACATCCGCAACAGTCACACCCTTCCTCTTCTCCCTTGGGAGTCTCAGCACTAGTAGAAGGGTTCGGAATGGTAATCTCAAACCCGAGCTTGGAAAGATCAATGCGTTCCTCTGCTTCATCCATTCTCTCAGCAGCAGCATCCATTGTTGTCATACTGGTATGGTATGGCCTCAGTACAATAATGGACTGGGTTGGGTGGTTTCTCAACACTTTCTGCTGGGCTGTTGATGATATTTTGTTTGTAATAAGAAACGGCAGCACTAGTAAAAAGACGAGGACTTTTGATAGAAACTCAGGTATCCAAACTTCCTCGATGGTTGATAGAACTCACAACAAGTCCTTCTTTTGGGCTGGAGTCTGGGTGGCTTTATGCCGCTACAAATCCTCCACCAACTCTTCCTGATGCTGCGAAGAATCCGGGAGCTTCAATGCATCCGAAGAGTTGCCGTGCTTCGTGCTACCATGTCAATGTGACCTTGGGCATTGAGCAGTTAGAGTCCGAATCTCTAACTTGAATCTCTAACTTAGAGATTCAGAAGGGTACGTGCGGCGTGCGGTACCATAACATGGATGCGACTGGAAGTCCACAGTACCGGTAAACATTGTGAGCCTCTTCAATGACATCTAAGACATCTTACGCATACTACGAATCAACAGAAGGCAAAGGAGCCCAATGAATTATTAGACGGTCATCAATGATTTCGATGGTTAAAACGATGTGGCTTCTTTTGGAAAGACTTTAAGACTGGTTTTACTTTGGGGAAACTCTTTATTTGTTTGCCTGATAATTAACTACATCGTACGTAAGACTGTACCAGTACCGGTACGTACCTCTTCGACCTTCGACCACGAGGTATCTATTCGGAGATTGAAAGGATTCTTCCTTCGTCTCCTTTGCTTAATGCGGAAGGCTCTGAGTGAGGCGAATAGAAGGCACAAAGAATGCTCAAGTACTAGTACCATACAGAACTTGGAACGATAGATCATGACTAAGCTTTAAATGGTATGCCCCAGTAATATATCAATGGAAAGTGGAAAAGAAGACTGCAATAAAGAACATGACTACAGTACCGTAGGTACACGCAAGGCGCAAGGAGTGCGTAAAAGAAAAAAGAATGCCCCCGATACGGTACCATACCGTAAAGAGCTCGTACAGTACCGGTAGAGTCAACGTCAGAGAAGCAAAAAGTGGTACGCTCGTTGCTATCTGTCTTGGAGTCTGTAGAAGGGATGTCGTCACCTTCGCGCCTTGCATCCAAGCTACCTGGTAGCTGGATCCTTGCACTGGACTCCTCCATAGCTGCAATGCAAGTTGCTGGCTCGACAGGGGTCTTCATCTCTGAAACTTGCCGGTAGAAAGATCCATTCCAGTGGACAGGAGCCTCTCAATCGAACAGAAGATACGTCTACTACACCCAATCTAACAGTTGGAAAAAGGAACAAAAGATCGCCTTGGCCTGGAATCGCATTGGGTACTTTCATTGTACCATGCATAATAGCAATGCTGGGCCAAAAAAGCGCTCGAAAGCAACACAAGATATGGATGTCACGTCCAACCAAGTAGCTGAAAACAGGAACAAAAGATATCATGCCCTTGCACGCTTCCGGCAGTTCTACGTACTGATGTAGCTACTGATGTACTTGTATCCCTTCCCGATCCTGTGTGTCAGCGTCGATATGATGGGGGTTCTCAGCTCCGGTGGCGAGCTCTCGCAATTCCATCATCGTAAGTGCATGTATTCCTTCAACAACCCCTTTGCATGCAAGTAGCAATTGGATGATGAGGCATTTCAGCCCCCCCCCCTCCAGGCGAATGACAT